TGGCTTTGCCTTGCAGGGAAATCTCTTTTCTCACCACGATGTCTTGCTACGACCTGTGCCCACCCAAAACCAGCGTTGCCGTGCCCCAGCCCATCGCTGAGAGCTGCAACGAGCTGTGCGCGCGCCAGTGCCCCGACTCTTCGGCCTTCATCCAGCCACCGCCCGTCGTCGTCACCTTCCCCGGCCCCATCCTCAGCTCCTTCCCCCAGCAAGCCGTGGTGGGCTCCTCCGGAGCACCCGCCTTTGGGGGCTCCCTGGGGCTGGGGGGCCTCTACGGCGCCGGGGCCACTCAGGGCTCGGGCGGCCTCTGCACCTTTGGCAGACCCTATGCTTCCCCTGCCTGCAGCCCCTGCGCCTTGCCCCGCTACAGCAGGAAGCTGTGGGACACCTGTGGGCCCTGCTAAACCCAGGTGCAAGACTCCTCTCCTCTTCCTTCCTCAATCTCTGTGCTAATTTGTAATGCTCACTTTGTCTTCTATGGCCCTGAACTGGGCCCTGTGCTGGCCACTGCCTTGAAGATGCCTCAAGAAACACTCCTCCTGAAGACCCAGGCACTGACGTTATGTTCTTTCCAGTCTCTACAATAAAATTAATTTGCATCCGATGTTTGAATCTTGGGCTTTTCTTCCTGGGTTCAGTGGTTGCCCCAGGTCTCCCTTCTCCCACATCTGCTTCCTACATTTGGTCCAGAACAGGCTCTCAGCCCCCTGCCGTGCCAGGTTGTTTTTCCACGAGACAAAGCCCCTGGCCATGCTTGCTCTGACTCACACTGCTGCTTCTCACCTCAATAAGACCTGTCTGAATGTAGTCTCCATGCTGTCCTTCAGGAAATGAAGCCACAGGGCATCTGAGAACCACCAACCTCCCTCCTGTGGATCTTCCCCATCTCCTATGGCCTCAGCAATATCCCCTCCATGCCTCACCTGAAGGCACAGATTGAGTTGAGAGGGAGCTTGTAGAAATAATCCAATCCAACTGTATCCTGAAGCCGTGCCACCCACAGCCACTTCAGACAATCACTGGGTATCATGAATTAGAAGGGAATGCATCCTGAAGATAAAGGCATCAACACCTGACAGCACAGATTCAAACTTTCTTCCTGAACATTGACCGCACTACTTTCTTGGCGAGCGTTTGTACTTGTTCACCCTCTCATTGAAGATCTTCTTCCTAATAGCATAGCTTTTTGAAATTCCTCTTATAAAGCACTCAGTCATTCCCTCACATCCCACCACTTGTCATAGCTAAACACTGAACTGAATTTCTAACAAATTATAAAGGATACAGTCAAAAATACTTCTGGTAAATAGCAGATATTTCTTATTATCTCCTAACTTTACTTTAAATCTTCTGTCACCTGGATCTTCTGCTCTTCAAGTCATAATCTTCCTCAAATGCATTCAGTGCAGAAATCATAGCCTTGATCCTGACTTCCTCAAAAAGATCACAAATGACTCACTCAGTTACAGTCCTCTGAAAAAAAAGATGACCGAGAGACACCTCAGACCTCAGTGGGATCAGAGCTTCATGCCACTCAGGCCCACCTAGGTCTCGCTGCTGATAAGTTTTAGATCCAGTGATTCACCTCATTCTAGAACAAGTTGTCATCATCCATCCTGTGGCCCCAGCACCTCCTCTTTGATGAGTTTAATTCACATGCCACTAGCAGCCTGACTTGTGAATGTTTGTCAGCACAGCCTGTTACCAGAAAAAGAGAGACAGGTGATCCATACTCAGCCTGCTTCCAGGTTATGGCTGATGCCATCCAGTTTCCCAATGACCACAGCCTCACAGGGCACATGGCTAGCTCACGCTTCACGTTTGTGGCTGCCTGCCTATGTTTGTTTCTGTAAGGCTGTATTCCAGCCAGGAACTGACAATGCATTAATCAAAGGCAGTATTTTTCATCGAGCACTCTCCAGCCTCACCTGAGCTTTGAGCCAGAGCTCATGTGGTGCTTCTACGACATCACAGACCAAGACATAACAGAGCAGGTCCTACTGCAGAGCTGAGGAGGATGGGCAAGGGGGAGCAGCCAGCGCCGTCCTCCTGTCTGTTCCTTCCACAGCACCCACAGCCCCACAAAAATGCCCTCTCTGCCATATCTATTCCTAACAACTCCACCATTCTAAGGGGAACATGGGATTCTTGTCAGCAAGATTTGCACTACCCCAGTTGCTGCACAACCACCTGGTACATTTTTGAAACAACATCAAAGAGAGGGAGAAGGCATTTGTGAATGCAGGAAAACTTTATTGTTCCCAGCTCATAAGGAGAATGGAGTAGAGTGAAGAAGTCAGGTCAGACTCAAGTTGTAGTGCATGAAAGAAATGGAATAGGCAAGAGAACAGGGCAGAGAGTGCAATGGTGTCAGCAGTGCCAGCTGCTCAGGCCTCAGCTGTAAATAGAGATGCTCAGCACTCCTCAACACTGCAGGCCCAGGCGTTCAGGAATGAGGTGATGCTGGTGGCGCTGGGAGCAGGCAGCGCCTGAGTTTAGCAGGGCCCACAGGTGTTCCAGAGCTTCCTGCTGTAGCGGGGCAAGGCGCAGGGGCTGCAGGCAGGAGAAGCGTAGGGTCTGCCAAAGGTGCAGAGGCCGCCCGAGCCCTGAGTGGCCCCGGCGCCGTAGAGGCCCCCCAGCCCCAGGGAGCCCCCAAAGGCGGGTGCTCCGGAGGAGCCCACCACGGCTTGCTGGGGGAAGGAGCTGAGGATGGGGCCGGGGAAGGTGACAACGACGGGCGGTGGCTGGATGAAGGCCGAAGAGTCGGGGCACTGGCGCGCGCACAGCTCGTTGCAGCTCTCAGCGATGGGCTGGGGCACGGCGACGCTGGTTTTGGGTGGGCACAGGTCGTAGCAAGACATCTTGGTGAGATGGGATGAGCCTGCAGTGCAAAGTTGCAAAAAGGGGAGCTATGAATGAGGAGATGCCCTGGCAGAGCTAACCACATGAACAGGGACTGGTCTTCACAAAGTAGGACCATAGCCTCTGTCATTATTGCAATGCCATAGTCACCTCACATCAGCCTGCTCTCCTGCCATCAAGACCCACTCCAGCCCCTGCCAGAGGAGGCCCATTTACTCACCCTTTTCCTGAGCTGAAAAAGGCAGGAGAGGTGAATGTCAGCACTCACCCTAGGCTGCTCTTTTATTAGGGCCTGTGTGCATTGGGAGGAGCTGACCTGGATGGGGTCACGAGGCTATCAGCAGCTGATCCTCAGTGTCCTATGTGCATACCATGGGGCTGTTTTGCTGATGCTGTTTACTTGGCAGCCCCCACCTCCTCACTCAACCCCAGCAATTACCCTGCTAAGACACTGGCCAAACCTCTGCTAATGGGCAAATTAGGCCTGCTGCTCTCCCATCCTCTGCTTGTGTAAGAGGGTACAGTGACATGACAACATGACAAATGCTGAGTGGCAGTTCCCTTTGTGCCACAGCACTTCCGCAGAGGTTTGGTTTTGCTGCAGCTTCATGCCAGCTGTCCATAGCAACAGGGAGGAGCAGGGTCACAGCACTGGGCAAGTAGAAGGTTTTTCCAAAGCCTCTTGCATGCTGTCATCTGAGTGACAAACGCACTGCAGTTGTTATCTGCAGATAGGTGAGGTGATGAAACACCAAATCAAAGGCACTCCTCTCAGTCACAGCGTGCTCAGCACTACACATTTTGTCCACAAAGCAGGAAGAAGAGGGCAGGTAGTAAAGGGGCCAGTGCTGGTCCAGCCAGGGACTGCTGACACAGGGAGGCACCCATTGGCCCAGAGGGTGATGAGCCATGTCCCGGCCTGTATAAAAGCTGGGTCTGCTCAGAGCCCTCCAAAGCACTGCTCTGGCCTCCTTCTCCTTGGGAACAGGGTAAGTCGGAGAGCACTTCTCCTCCTGCCCCTCACCTGGGCCTGCTTCAGGCCCCTGTGCCTGATCTGCTGCCATCTGCCGCTGCGCGACACTGTCTGCCCTCTTGCAGAGCTCCATCCCATCACACCAAG